AAGATTACTTTCTTATTATATCCATACCAAAGAAGCAAACTAGTTGTGTTCCTGAAATAGTTCTGAAGACTTAAAATTTACAGTAGATCTTAGCAAGAATGTTATGTATGTTTTAGAAGCAGGATTAACATATGTACAACAATTCACAATGATGTTTTGCATTACTTTTTCAACAGAAAATTCATTGCTTCGCTATATGAGCAATGAGAAAATAGGTCAAGAAGACTACATGTTTCAAAGGAATAGCAAAAAGGATACTGGGAAAAAGTCCAAAAAGAAGGGAGACAAGAGTAGTAGTCCAAGTCATTACTCACTGTTGCCTAGTTTACAAATGGACTCATTGAGACAAGAAGTCATGGGCACACCTGGACCAGAAACTGCTTTGTACCACGTGAGTAAAATTAACAAAACTGTCGTGTTTTTATAGCGGTCTTGAAACCTTTTTTGGACTCCTGCTGTTGCACTGATTCCTATTCATCAGATAATAGCTAGATCCTAAAGAAATATTTTAGAATTCTTTATTTTGCTGGTGGGATGGACACCAGTGACTTATCTCCTTTAACTAGAAGATGTCATGTTTGAAATGGAGTGTAGTATCTCTGCCTTCACTTGCTTGCTACCGATGGAAAGGGAAGAAGCAGCAGTTTCCAGACTGACTAGAAACCTTCTTTCCAGCATCTATATCACTGCAATATGCTGAGTCTTGTCAGACAACCTATTCACTTCAGGTACTTGAAAGGCCTGATAATGGCAGGAAAAGTTGTGGGAGGCATTTGTTTTTCCTTTGAGGTAAGGGGGCTCCTAATGCATGTAACTGTTTTTAACATATGGCCCTCAATAACTCAAGTAAGTGTGAAGGAAGAGAATCTGATGAATAGGGTGTAAAGGGAAAATTGCAGTAACTTGCTAGTTTTCAAACGTGTCAAGAAAATTGAGTTAGAAGATCACAACATATTTTAGATATGATATTACCCCATAAAAGTATTTACATTTTAGGTCTTGGTAAAAGATGTACTGTACAGAAAAACAATAGAAATAATTAAAATTATCTTCATATACTAACAAAGAGTATGTAATTTAGATTGCCAGTTTCTAAGGGAGTTGGCAGTGTGGGCTTGTCCAGAAGTCTGCTCTGAAAAACTAAACCTGTAAGGGACAAGTAACTTGGCTTCCTGTTGGAAAACATTGCTACAGATTATCACATTATAACTGTGTAGATTAATTGAAACTAATGGAGCCTTTATATCCTTTTACACCAAGTGCTTGATCCACTGACTTCTAAAACTCCTTAGTGTGCTGCAATGTATAGGTAAGTCTGATAAATTTCAGAGATTATGTCATTTAGTTTTAAATGTAAGCTTTTGTGGTGCACTTTAATTAAATCAGGTCCCCAGATGCAAGAACTGCTATTCCCTTTCTTTTTCATTTGTAGTAATTTAGGTATGATGATAAACATTTTTTTCTTACATCATTATTTTCAACATTAGTTTTACACTCTTTTTGTAAGTTGGAAATCTGATAGTAGGGAGATTTCCATTTGCAAAGCAGACTGAGATATAGTGTTTTCCTAGTACATGAAGCAAAGGAGATTGTAAGTGTCCCCAAACTGTCCTCTTTGTAACGTCTGGAGTCTTTCCTGGAAGGCATCTAATCAGTGCAAGATCCCTTGAAATAAAATATTTACAGAACAAAATAGAAAAGTTATTTGTGTAATGGAGGACTTTCCACTCTGTGAAGAACAGTGTGATAAATTTGAAACACTTTCCATGTATTGAGAGAATACTCATCTCTCAGTAACATTCCTTTGTTAGTACACATTAAATTCCTGACGCTGTACAGTGAGAAAAAGCTTTTTTTTAAGGTGCCATTGTTGTAAAAGGAGTTGGAGTTAGTTACGCACTTCACTCACAAGACAGAAGCAGCAATTTATTTTATTTATATAAAATATAGTGAGTTAACAAAGTTCAGAGGTTAACACAACAGTGATTTAACAAGATTTGATGGCAAGGTGCACTTGATTATTTACTGCATATAGGACAGGGTCAGACAAAATTATCAGGGAGACCCTCCCATTGAGTCACGAGGTTCAGAAGGGACCCCTTGTTCTCTAAACTTCTCAGAGAGGAGCCTAGGTGCAGCTGGATCCAATCCTAGTCCCAGACTTGGTGAACGGTTTATGTCTAAAGGATTATATATGCGCAGTCAATCCTTTACATCACTTAGCTAAGATTTCATGGTTTAGCATGCTGTTAATCACTTACCAAGAATCTGTCACGGCAATAGATCTCTCAGCCTCGCGGAGTAACCTTGAGAGCCATCCCTACTCAAGGGGAGATCCTGGCGTGCAGCCTGCTGCTCTACAGGAGAGCTCAATGGGCCCTGGGCTGACCACTATTTATGGAGCAAGATGGTGATTGACTTATAGTCGTATTTTCATACTAGCCGTCTTTCATTTGGCACATGTTCATCTAGCCCTCAACTGTTGAGCAAGATGTGCAAGACAGCCCTTGACTATTGTTTTGTTATCTGTCTCCCCTAGTCTACTCGGAGCCAGATGCAGCCATCACAACAAGACGCATCCATTAGGGCCACCGCTGGTGGTTATCACTTCAACAGGGTTGCAGGAGGTAAAGGTCAGGTTGGAGCCGGGGGGAGCACACTATCACAGCCATCTTTGTTTTTCCTTGGTTTCCTCTATTACCCGTTAAGTCTAGTTTCCAAGCTGTGTACAAAAATAAATTATGTACACAGAAACTGAAAGATTCTTCACAATTCTGGTGTATAAGTTAATGAGCAACAGCAAACTTAGAACGGACAACTGGCATTTTCGTGTACTTTGGATACTGTTCACAGAACACCTGAACTGTTAGCATCACAAATTCCACCCGTGTCTGCTAATCATTTTTGTGTATCATTGCCATTAAAGGGTGTCTCTCTCTATAATGCCATTAAATCTTCAGCATCTTTTTGGAAGTTTAGTGGCAGCTTATTTATAAAAATAAATGAAGGTTATTTGCTCTTCAGAATACAAACCAGTATTGATCTACTAACTGGCTTTGAAGCAAATGCCTGAAATGAATAAAAAGAGGAAGCTTGGGGCATTGATTTGTCCCCAGGGAAATGGGAAGGAGCCCTTCACAAAACATTTACAGCCCTCTGCAGCTAATTATTGCTGGACCTATCACTTGAAGCCATGTGGCTGCCACTGTGCAGTACAATACAGTTCCCTTTTGGTAGTGATGGCACCCAAGCATACCGGCTTATGAAACCCTAATCTAGTTTGCAGATGGGGCTATATGTCTTTGCCACATAGCAGAGCCAGAGGTTTTGTAATAAAATGAACAGAACTTTTCTTAAAATCTTAAATAAACAATGCAGTGAGCAGATAAAGAACAGGAGAATACAGATAAAACACAATGAACTCATATCTTACTGCAGTACAATTTTATTAAACTATGGATAACAAATAGGACAATGAAAATATACTTAATGCTCAGATTTCAAATTGCATCTTAAAGATCACTAAGTGGCTGTCCTATTAGAAAATATTTTTTTTACAAACACCTAGTTTTCACAAAAACTTCAGATTGTTTGTAAGTGGGAGCCTCTGGATGAGCATAAGTTCAGTGCAGAGGAATGGTGGTAACTCCAAAAACTGCACTAATGGTAGTGAAGGAGACTGGGGGGTTTGATTTGTGTTTTTGTTTGGTTTTGTTTGGGTTTGTTTTGTTTTTAAGAAGTCAATGTTTTCATCATACTAGAATGTCAGATGAAGAGAGAATACTGTGACTGTCTGTGCTGCATAGCACAAGCCAGTGGATTTTCCTGAAATGCAGTTTCTACTGAGCGGCTGTAGGTGAACTTATACCTATAGTGCCTCGATTGTATTAGGTCTCAATACTAGAGAATACTGCACCAGGAGTTAAGTAGTTCCAATCTCTGGTTGTACTTGTTAAAAGTTTTCACCTGTTAGCCTGTGTTTAACTGGCTTCTGTGTACAATCTTAGTTATAAATGTAGGAATTTACAGGTTATAATCGGATCACTTTGTAGCCTTCTCTTGCTTAAAAGAAATAGAATGAGCATCCTGGGTTTGTCATCAGAGTGTGTGTTTTTGTACCCTTTCATCATTCTCATAATTCTTTCAACTTCTCATATTAAAGCCTAAAGCATCCTAAGTATCCTAAGCATCCTTCCTAAAGTATGTATGCCAGAACAAGACATAAATTTCCATGAGCTAGATAGAAAGGTAATATAACTTTTCTATTCGTGATTACTACCTCTCTATTTAAATATTCAAAGGACTTCTTACCCATTTTAACCATAGACTTGGAGTGGGAGTATGTTTCTTACTTGGTTGTGATTTTATTTTTCTGTAATCTCACTTTTCCAGATCACTGATTTACAAGACTAGTATTCCCAATCTAATAATTTATATCTTGCATTGTTTGTTCTTAAATATATAACATTGTGTATGGTTGACCTTGTTCAACTGTATGACTTCTTGGATATTCTTGCTGAATAGTCTCTCTCTCTGAAGCAACCCTAAGTATGAAATACCAGAGAGTAAGGGCTCTGGGCCCTCAAATTGGGCCTCCGTGATTCTCAAGTCCATAACATGGAGTACTGAAGCTCCAGCAATCCGGGATCTGCTGTGAAATGGAACTACTGAAACCATTGTTTTGAAATTGTCTTTTTAATATCCATATTCTGTGAAACGAAAAAAAAAAAAGCTCCACACATTTGATTTCTTTATATTTTTCTCTATTTTATTTTACCTTTTTCCTGAATTCCCTGGAATAGAAACCATGCTGCTCACTCAGCATTCAGGTCTCATGTCATTCACTGGTCTTTGATTCTTTGTTACTTTTATTCAGTGAGGTTTTAATTCTTTTTTGAGTCCATTGATATAAATGTTAAATAATTTTGGACTAAGAATGCATCCCGATAGTTAATGATGAATTCCCCTTACAATTACAGGCCTCTTTCCTTTTGAATTTTGCAGCCATTGACGTGTACAGGTTGATTACCTTTTTACTGTGAAGGTTTCTGCAGAAAAAAAGCTTTTACAGTTATGCTGACTTCACCTCCTCGCTTCTGTTGCTTTTATACATGGCTCTATAGGAAAGAAAAATCTTTGATCAAAAAACTACACTGATGAATTAAATTACCACAAGAGAAACGGTATGTTTTTGTCCTGTAAACAAAGTGGATGATGTTAAAAAATTACCATGGTAATTCAGAAGTGCATGGTTGTTGTTTATTTGTTAAAAGTTATTTTAAAAAAATGCCAGCAGATTCAAATTCTTATATTCTAACGTGATCACAAGAATGTGGCGGTCTACCATTAAATTTGCATAAAATCACTGGGTTTAACATTTTTGTTTATATC